AAAGAAAAGAAAAGAAAAGAAAAGAAAAGAAAAGAAAAGAAAAGAAAAGAAAAGAAAAGAAAAGAAAAGAAAAGAGAGAAAGAACTTGTTCCAGGTCACAGATTGATTCCTGGTTGTCAGCCTCAAGTCCTAAGACAAGAGCCCCACCAGCCTTAATGACGAGAGCATATTCAACCCCTACCTCAAACCATGTACAAAATTCAAATCAAAGTGGATTAAGACCCTGAGGGTAAGAGCCAAAACTATAAAACTTTGTGGAGAAAACATATACCAGTACCTTATGACCCTGAATTTGGAGATGACAAAAGCATGAGCAACAAAAGGCAAAATAAATAAATTGAATGTCATCAAGGTACAAAGCCATTGTGCACCAAAGGATAGAATCAGGAAAGTAAAAAAAAGACAACTTATAGAATAAGAGAAAATATTTGTAATTATATAATAATATCTGTTCTTACCAGATATAAATATATAATTTATATCTGGTAAGAACAAGATCCAGAATACCTAGAGAATTTTTGTAATCAAACAAGAAAATTACTTTTCCTGTCTCTTGTCTCATTGTTATTTGTTTATCAATAAAATTATGGGGAAAAAAGAAGAAGAGAAAAAAAAAACAAGAAAAAGGCAAACATCAACATCCTAATTTTTTTAAAAAGTTACCACATGTAGACCGGGACAGAAAAAAAAATGTAAGAGAGGGGCTGGGGAGATGGCTCAGTGGAATAAGTGCTTCCCTAGCAAGCTCAAGGGTCTGATTTCAATCCCCAGTTCCACCAAAAAAAAAAAAAAAATGTAAGAGAGAAAAATAATTGTGATAAACTGAAGACTTGTACAAATATATTTCTTTTGTGAAAGAACAACCAAATACAAAGTGTAAATCTCATTTTTGGGGTCCTGATTCAAACAAAAAGAAAATATTTTTGAAATAATTAGATATCAACCGGGTATTAGATTATCTAAATCATCACTATCAACATGCACCAGCTCTCCAAAATGTAACCAGTATATACTCCACACATAATAGTAAATTTTTTAAAATGCTTAAAAGAAATCATTGTAAAATTTTAGATATTTTAATAGCACAATGATTATTGTTTTAAAAAGCAAAATTGCATCCTGAAAAATTTACAGTGAAATCACATGATCCCTCAAATTTGGATTAGAAGGTTACTTTCTAAAACTGAAAGAGGATAAATAAAGCAAGAATGGGAAAACCTTGAAAAACCATTAAAACCAAGGGATGAGTATTAGGTCTACAAATTCTACTCGTCCTGTTCTGTCTCTGCTTGTGTATGTTTGAAATTTTCTATAATGAAAATTAAAACTGTTACTGAATATTGTTATTGTCTCCGCCTCAAATATTCAGGAAAACAAAAGCACCAGCTACTGTTTCTTCTGCACTGTAACTCACTAGCTTGCAGTGCTCATGTGAGAGCCAACGCAACTCGGATATCAGGACAGACATCTTGCCAAGTGCTGAGATTGGCCTAATCTCATCCTTTGGTGCTACATAGGGGAAGACAAGGAAGAAAGCTGGCCACAGCTTTGACAGAACAATAAGTACCGCATCGAGGCTGGAAAGGGGCACAGCTGGAGCCCCCTCCTTATGTGATCTCCACAAGGCCCCTTCTCTCTCCACCCTACTGTAACCCGGAGAGCTTCAGGCAGGATGGAGGGCTCTCAACCAGCCGCGTGCATCTTCGCCACCTCTCACAGTTCAGTAACACTTTATGTTTTCAGGTGATTTCACTTGAGCCTTTCCACTATCCAGCATGTCAAACAAGGCAGGAATTATAAATCCCAGCTTTCTCATGAAAGAGGAGGCTCTAAAGAGTTTAGAGTATTTGTTGCAGGCCACCTGCTAGAGAGCAGTAGAAGGGTTCGGGACCGAGCTTCTTCCAATTGTCCTCCTACATAGTTTTCCTATCAAGGTCCTATTTTTCTCTCTTACTCCTTATCATTCATATTGCTTTTCTTTTATCCCACCATTGCCTCAAATCCGGCTGGCAATCACTTTCACTATTTAAAAAAATCAAAAATTTTAACAAACCATATTAGCAAATTTTCTCTTCCCATCATCTTTTGGACAGTCCAGGGAACATCTTAGAACTTGAGTGGTTTCCTGGGTTTTGGGGGATTGTTTTGTTTTGGTTTTCTTTGGGGTTTTGTTTGTTTACTTTGTTTTGTGTTTACTGTTATGAAGAACTGATTGGAACACTGCCAGGAAAAAAAGTAACGAAAGAATACAAGGATTGTTTCTGTGAGTCAGTCAAGAGTTCTTTCCAGCTTTCAAAAACACCTCAGGGCTGGGGAGATAGCTCAGCAGTCTAAGGGCCTGCCTGGCAAGCACAAGGACCTGGGTTTGATCCCCAGTACCACATGCCATGCTGCCCCAGAACCCCATGCACACTGTGCCAGCCACCGAAACTAGGCATGGTGGAACACTCTTGTAACCCCAGAGCTGGGGAGGCTGAGACAGGAGGATCACTATGAGTCTGAGCTGGGAAAAGAGACCCTGTACCAATCAAAATTTAAAAAAAAAAATTCAAAAGCACCCCATTGGTCATCCAACTTCTGAGAAATCTCAGCTCCACAAATTGGGGCCTGTAGCTCTAAGTCAGCAGAGAGCGAGCTAGACAGTGGAGGGACAGCTCTGCAGGTTGCGTTTAGAGAGAATAAATATTCCTCAAATTATTAGTAACTACAGAGGCCCAGGGAACTAATTTTCAGCCAGTACAAAGTGGCTCACACAATGATAAAAAGGACAGAAAAGTAAGAGACAGAGGCATAGGTTGTACTCCTGATTTCAGATTCTGAGGTCTTTCCACCCCCAAGTTTTCATTTCCCAGTTGCTACAGTTTCAATGTGCCCTTCAAAATTCAAGTGGAAACTTAATGCCCAAATTTATATGTTGATTTTATTCAGAGGCAGAGCCTTTGTGAGGCAACTGGAGTTAAATAAGGTCATCAAGAAGAGGAGCCACCATGGGGCTGGCTTTTTATAAGAAGAAAAACAGAAACCTGAATTGACACACACTTGCTCTCTCCTGCTATGTCATGCTGCAGCATAAAGACCTCCACCACATGCAAGACCTTTGGCCTTGTTAGGTTTTCCAGCCTCCAGAAACACAGCCTAAATAAACTTCCGTTCTTTATAAATTACCCAGCCTGTCGTATTCAGCTATAGTAACAGCAAACAAACTGAGACATCTATTCTCTAAGAGTCTCAGAGTTCCTTCCCAGGATTGGCACTTATTGTCCATGTTTAAAGGCATCAGAAATATCACCTAGAGTCATATTTTGACTTAACTTAGGACAGAGGTTCATAACTGCCTCTGGGTTATGACCAGTCCTTCGGCATCCTAAGGATGCCTAAATAACTTCCTTTATTTAAAATTTACAAACAAAAATTATACTTATTTATTCATTTATTTTATATAGCATGATGTTTTGAAATACGTATACACAGTAGAATGGCTCAGTTGAGCTAATTAACATATGCATTACTTTATATACTTTGCTGTGGTAAGAACAAATCTCTCAGCAATTCTCAAAATGAAATCTATCAGTCAGAACTATAATCACTACGTTGCGCAATAGCTCTCTTGAGCTTATTTTTCCTACCTATCCAAAATGTTTCATCTTTTAACCAGACCTCCCCAACCTCAAGCTTCACCCCAGGGCTTCACCCCAGGCTCTAGTAACTACAATTCTATTTCTACTTGCATAAATTCAACTTTTTGAACCTCATATGAGACCAAATAGTATTTGTGTCTTTCTGTATCTGTTTTATTTCACTTAGCACAGTGTCCTCCAGTTCATCAATGTTGTCAGAAGTAACAACTCTCTACTCTTTAAAGTCTAAACAAAAAAAATAAAATAAAAGTCTGAACAGTATTCCACTGTGTGTGTGTGTGTGTGTGTGTGTGTGTGTGTGTGTGTGTGTAACATTTACTTTGTTCAATCACTGATGGACCCTTAAATTGATTCCATTATCTTTATTTTGAATCATCTGCAATAAACATGGGAATGTAGGTATTTCTTTAATTTCATTTCCTTTGCATATATCCCCAGCAGTGCATGGCTGGATAAAATGATATTCTAACTCCCTTTTAATTTTCTATTAAAAACAGCTTTCTCTGAAACCTGTTAGGTTTTCAACATGCACCACTGAGAAGAACATGAAATTCCACTGTACCACACTGGCTCCTTGATGCATGAAGTGGGACTTTAGCCTAAGGGCCCAGAAGGCTTAAGGAACCAAATTCACAACAATGTACAGAACCGCCTCTTGTTGTAGCAACATGTGCTGGTGAACGAGAGTGGGCAGCTTCTGCAGCAGCCTGTGCCCAGCCCCCAGGGCAGTGTACTCACCGAGATCTTGGTAAAAATGTAGAGCAACAAAGAGAGAACAGAAAGGTAGATCTGGATCCTCTGGCCTCCAAACCTCTTCCGTAGATACTCTGGCATTGTCACCACCTGTATGGGATGCAAGGGAGGTCACCACCAGCCAGAGTGACAGGACCCAGCACAGGCATAAAACATGGATACATCCTGGTGTCAGAGCCACAGCAGTGTGGTCAAGGATTCATAATCTGTATTGACGTGGGAAGCCACGGAGTAATCCACATGGTCTCCGGTCTTCAGCCACCTGCTCATTCTATGCCCACATAGCCTAGCACTATAGGAGTAGCTGAATGTCATCCCAGTGCACACAAAGTGCCCAGTAAACACATGGTTTTGAATGTACACATAACTGAACATAACTAAGGAGGTGGATTCTTAACTGAAGAAGAAAACAGACTGGTAAATGATGGTGATGATGAAGGTAAATAGATTGGCTGGCCAAATAGCTCAGCAAATTAAAGTGCCTGCTTAGGCAGATGCAGGGGCCTGGAGTTTGATCCCCAGGCCTGCCGTGCTGGCCCCACCCTGGGGCACATGGAGATAGCATTGAGACTGGGCGTGATGGCATGCGCCTATAATCCCAGCACTTGGGAGGCTATAAACAGGAGGATCACTACAAGTCCAATCTATGCAGTGAGGCCCTGTACACCTTGTACACCCTGTCCTAAATACAAAAAAAGTAGATAGATAATACATACCTACATACATACATACATACATAAGAGATTCCTATACAGGGCACCTACTGTAAACAAGACATCATGACAATTTGTTGAAACTGTACTTCCGATTTGATTTGAAACTGTCTCATTGCTATTTGTTTATCAATAAAATTTTGGAAAAAAAAAAAAGACATCATGACAATGCTGGCATCTTTCCAATGTACCAAACTAGTTGGCTAGACTAAATGTGATTTCTACTCTGCCCTGCACACAGGCAGTGCCAAGGATTATAGCTGCCCCAGGCCAGCCTAAACATTCTCCCAGTTTCTTCCTGCAAATTTCAACCCTACTTCCTGTCTTGCTCCCTGCCACCTGGGCCCACTGTCCTTAGGAACCAGACATGTCACCAGTAATCTGTGGGCCTCCAGAAGTTGTAGTCTGCCCTGTGTTCCTCCCACACTGCTTTTAGCCCCCAACATATACATTTACACACAGGAGGTGCTCATTACGTCTCAGTGAACAAGTGATAGTAAAGTTGCCCTATGTAAAACCTCAGAGAGATAAGAAAGCAATTGATAGCTGAGTACCAGCTGAATGCTCAGGAAACAAGAACTGCTGAAGTATGTAAATGAAAGGGACATATAGTTCTTTTTCACCAACATACAAGGGCAAACACTAGAGATCAAGAGCAAATTCATGGGAGTATCAAGGACACACCCAAAGTAGGAGGATGAGATGCTTCAGAGGAATTTGAAGAGTGTGGGATTTCTTAGAATACCTTCTCAAGGAATGAGTCATGCGCCTGCGCTGATAAGAGCCAGGGGGCTATTTAATTCCCCTGTGTGCAGTCAGAAAGCATTTTACAACACGGGAGTGAAAGCAACTCACATGTCCCTGTCGCTTATCCCACAGTGTCCTCTCATTTCCAGAATGATCAAGCTTACAGGTATACTTGCCAGGGAGAAATGGGACAACGGAACAGATACTTACCCCAGCCTTGATGTAAATAGGGACAAACACCCAACCCAGCACAACCACCAAAATGAGGGCCTGAAAGCAAAACAAGAGGTAGACTTAAATCAGGAGAAGCCTTAGCCCAGAAAAATCACCCAATACTTTTTTGTAGTAGTAGTTGTTGTTGTCCTGTTGTTACCAGCTACCTAGGTGAGAATTAGAGAGTAAGTGGAGTTTTTTACTGTCCAAATGGCTCACAGAAACAGCAACTGGGCAACAGTGGAGGGGAAGCCACTGACATCAGGAGAAGCAACTGATGCCCACTAACATCACAACCCTGAGGGCCCGGCCAGAGCAGTGAGTTTTCTTTTGTATCTTCCCTAATTTATAAGGAGTACAGCCTGGGATGTAGCTCAGTGGCACAGTGCCTGCCTGGCAAGTGCAAGGCCCTGTGCTCAACTCTTGGTACCAAAAAAAGAAAAAAGAAAGACCAAAAATAAAAGGCCTCTAAAATAAATGAGGAGTAAAATACCATTTTGAGAATAATACCAACAACATGGTTAGAAGAGTACTAGGGCCTTGTCTTTTTAACAGCAAGGGGAAAAAGAGAAATAGTAGTATCATGTCAGTGGATCTGTCATGCTGCTGCAGTGGGAGAAGGTGGGAATGGAGCTTCTAAGGCCGTGCCCTTCCATCTGCACTCCAGGGGCTCTCTAACAGCTCAAGCTATTCTGAACATAAACTGAACTGGCTGACTGCCAAGGCTCTGGCTGTGTTTGGGGTATGATCTAATATGTCCCCTAAAAGTTCATGTGTTAGAGGCTTGGTCTTCAGTGTAGTGGGAGACAGTAGGACCCAAAGGTGAGGAGTAGTGAGAAATCCTTGAGTCCTTGAGACTGCTGCTTGGCAAAGGGATTATAGGAGTTCAGTGAATCCCTTGGTTGCCCTGAACAAAGGTTGTTATAAAAGCCTGAGCCATTATCGGGCAGGGGGGATGGCCAGAATGGCAGGGCCAGGAAGTCAGATTCAAGGAAATGCTGGGTACATGCACCACGTCCCTATGAGCACTTGTAATCCCACACTTGGGAGGATGAAGTGGGAGGATGGTCATGAGTTTGAGGCCAACCTGGGCTGCATTGTGAGTTCAAGGCCAGCCTGAACTACACGTGAAACTCTGCTTCCAAAAACAAAAAAACAAAAGAATTACGATGCATTAAGTACATACACAACACACATTTCCCATGATGAATGTGATCATTATGCACTGAAAAATATACTAATTTTTTTAAAAATTACATAAAGCCTGAGCCTGGTCCCACATATCCTTCTGGGTTTTCCTGTTTGGGGAATGTGGTCTCTTCCTCTCACACGTGCTCCTGCCATTGCTATCTGCCGGGAGGTGACACAGACAAGAAGGACTCACAATAGCCCTCACCATGCTACTTGGACTCTCAGCCTCCAAAACTATAAGCTAAATAGCCTATTTTCTTCATAAAGCTAGCCTTCCTCAGGTATATAATTATAGTAATGAAAAGATTAGAAGAAGCTTTTCCACCACCAAGACACAGTGGTGCTTAGGGTACTCACGTTCCATTCAAAGCCTCCGGTAGCAATGCCTGCAGCTGCTCCTGTCCCAGCGAGCCCCACAAAGTGACCGCTTCCAATGTTACTGGCAAAGAGGGAGGCTCCAATCTAGAAACACAAAGATGAAGTCAGGTGATGACTCTGTACTTGACCAGGACACTCAGGACATCCCAAAGCCAAAAGAGACATATTAGGCAAAATGAAGACAGGAGAGAGGAAAGGCTACCTGGGGATTTGACTGGTCCTTGTTAGGGTCAGCTGAGAAACAATGAAAATGAAAAAGAGAGGATTAAAGAAGGAGCAGGGAAATATATTTCTAAATCAGATTATCTGTGGGTGTTTTGTGAGCCCAATGTCTAATACTGGTAAAGATGTGGAAAGCACATGGCCCAGTAAGACTCTCCTAAATGTTTCCTGCAAGGCTGTTTATTCAGTGTCAGAGCCAGTACCATTCACATCCATATTCTCAGCATGTTCAGTGCTTTGGGGCCTTGTCCACTACAGGCTTTCAATAAATACAATCAATGTTTTTGAAGCAAATCACCTAAAAGAAGCCTCTGAGCCTCTATCTCCCTGTCAAATAAAGGACATGAAACTGATAGCTTCTAAGTCATTCTTAGCTGTGAAACTATGTGATTCCACACATTCCCTAACACAGGAGATGCTGGTAATAATAATTCTTTCCTGAAAATTAGACATAAACAGAAACTAAACATCAGATGTAATTAACAGCTGGTCATTATGAGCTGACCATGATGGCCAGTATCATGCAGGTCATACCTCACTGTTCTCTTGCTTAGTGGCTGATCTATTAGGTCAGGTAAGGTGAGAGTAGCCTGATTTGGAGCTAGAATTTTTTATCTCTAATTAGGTTTTATTTTCAGGAAAATTCTAATATTTTTGTTTTGACAAAGGACTTAGAGATTGTAGAGAAATATGCATAAAACATTACATTTTAAGGAGATTA